GCAAAATTTTTTTAGTAATGTTTTAATATAGTTTTAATTTACTGTAGCGTATTTGTATGGTGAACGAACGGACAGGACATCAGCTAAGTTACTTTCTCTTTATTTTCTCTTTACTTTAATAAATTTTTGTCTAAAAATTTTTTATCCAATCAATCCCCCTTGCCCCTACCTGCGGGCGCCCATGAACACACACCTATGCTACCAAATCCAGACAAAAATCTGCATGCTCGATGAAAAAAATTATTAGATTTTCAAAGAAAACTGTTCAGCTTAAAATTGTGCATGAAATTTAAGGTAAAGAAAATTAAGCCAAACTGGTAACTATATTGATATTTTTATTTGTTTAACAGGCTGCAGTGTAAATAATTATATAACAAAGATAAATGCTAAGATCTGAAAACATTTTAAATGATAAAAAGCATATAATAATTACTTTACTCAACTAACAATTACTAAAGATTTGAATGTTAAACATGAGCAAGGACCTATTGAGTCAGCCTAGACAGGAGATTAGCAATTATTTAAGGGATCTAAGGATCAAGTTCTATTTACACATTAACAGCCAGAAGAAGAGTGATGCTCCCCATGGGTGTTCCAGCAACTAATAAAGTTTACCTATCACCAACAAACATTTTAATTAAAATTTACAGCAATTACTCATAAATACACTTACTTGTTTATATATGCATATGTGTATGATATTAAAAAAATTGTGCCATCATAAAGCATTAAGAAAACATTTAAAAAAGGACATTAAATAATAGAACACGTATAACGTTTTTGTTTAAAGGGAGCAGTTGGACGATATAATTGAGTAGTATTAAGGCCAGTGAAAAAATTTGTAAAGCACCATGCTAACCATTTCATGCACTTTGTGTTTAAAATTGCTTATAAATTTAAAAAAAAAAAGCACTCAATCAGTTATGGTATGAATGAAATAAATGACACTGTAAGGTCACTTTAGGTTAAACTAATCTCAGCTGCCATCCCTTGGTTTGTAACTCACCAGTCAGTAGTCTATGTGCAAAAAACACAGTTGACCCAGTCATTCTGATTAGCATCCATCATGGTAGCTATTGTCAGATTCTCCAAGTGGGTTACCCAACTTTGATTTTTAATTAGTGAAAGCCCATTCAAATTTAACTATGATCTATACTAATGTTTGATAAATTGCTACAAGATCATTCTATTGTAAAAGTATCTCTCAGTAATAGAAAGGAAAGTCCACAAGCAGTGCAGCTGAATGTCTAAAAATTCTCTGAGTGCAATAGAAACACATGCATAGATCATTCATCGAATATTTTCATTTTAAAACCATCATTTAGACTGACTTGAGGCATTGTTGCTCTAATCATCACTAACCAGTGAGATTTTTTTTGTGCTCACTGGTTAGTGAGCTAAAATAGGCACGTATAACTTTTTGAAACTTATTCTCTGCAATTAACATTCATTTTTTTACTTCTCCTGATTCAAATAGCAAACTTAAATGCCACCTGTACATCTTGAGATTGTGTAATACGACACACATCTATAAAAACCGCAAATGCTCCTGGATAAAATTGGTGCTTTCTTTCTTGCAATTAAAAAAAGTTAATTAAAACCAAGTAATAAAACTATCATCAGCTATGAAGGCTCTTAAAACAACATCTACTAAACTGTCTTGCAATGTGAATTTAACATGCTGGTAACAAGCAATTGAGAGGTCCAGAGGTAGACCAAAGTGTAGCATGCCACTGTCCAGTTTTGTGCGGTGCAGTTTCCAGCCTGTAGATGCATTATCAATGCTGTGATGGTTTGGGGGGTACAGGCGGCGGTGTGTCATCTCCTTCTACTAATGGGGAGGGTGGAGTTGGAGGTAACGGCTGTCAAGACAAACACATCTATGTACCAGGTGTTATACAACTTACATTTTAAGTAGCATTCAACATGGTCCAACAAAACAGAAAGCAATATCCCAATAATAAATGAGTTATCAAAATCTAATTAACTTGAATCTTGAATGTATGCAGAAAAAAATGCAGAATCCACTTACGAATATCAAAGTTGCTAGGGGAATGGATAACAAGAATCAAATCTTATTTAAGTTTAGTAGTAACATCATTATATTAATCATTGATATAAATCGTCATGGAAATCTGTTGAGCATATGAATCAGAACTCCTCAGTTTTAGATTTGTTGAAGATTTTGCTGAAGATGCTCACCTTCTGCCTGTTAGTTTGACTGATGGAGGACGCCCGGCGCACAATGTCCCCTGATTGGTTCATGTAGTCACTGTAAGACTGTTTCTCTGGCAAGGGGGGAGGGGCCTCATTGGTGGCAAGTTCATAAGCAGTCACTGCAGCCACCAAATCATTTTGTTCTATAAGTGACAAAGAAATTGTATGCAAAAATGAAACATAGGCAACTGTAAATTTAAAAAGTGATGTTAGGACCATGTTGATGAATCACCACAGCAAAGTGGTCCAGGATGCAATGACTAATGACAGTTGAGAGGGTGGATACAGATTGTATTGTCGGGGAATCTCTTAAATACCATGTGCAGATGCCAAATAAAATGGGACAGGGGACAGAGCATGCTGAGTTATTGAGCTCTTCTTGCCAGATGTAAGATAATAATACTTGTGTACAATGGGGTTAAGATCTGCGATGGGTTAAGATCTGCGATGCGCACAGCTAGGGTTAGTGCCGACAGCTGCAGGTCAGGATTTCTGCCGCCCCTTCAATGAAAAAAAACTGCATTTGGCCAAAAATGCTGCCCCTCAATATAAAGAAAAGAGTGGGTGGACTGCGTCCTACCGTCCTACGCTAATGGTTCAGATGTAGTTAATAAGACCTGCACATCATGGTCTTACTCACAAAACATCACTTATCAAATGGTCTTCAAAATTAAAAAAAACTGACTCTTCAAAATTAAAAAAAACTGACATCATTTTAAAAAACCAAAAAAATTATTATTTTAAAACTGTTATTTCACACGGGGAAAAGGCCATTGGATTTGAATCATAATCAAAGACTTATATGTTACAGTTTAATTTTTAAGTATTTTTTTTTTAGTAAAAGCCATTTCATTTAAAACTATAACTACATCTCAATTCATCAAACTATGTTGATGCACACAGACAGTTGTTTGGGACGTCATTCATGAATTTGTGGGCAGTACTGACCTCCTGATAGCCTCGATGATGTAAGACTATTGGTGCTACCAGAATGGGGATAATTATTGGTCAGCTGTGCACTCGGTGGTCTACTTGGGCGTCGTTCTGTGTCAGGTCTTGGTGGGCGTTTTGGGGTAAGCTAAAAAAAATTAGTTAAGAAAACAATATGAAATCATGCAGACCAAACTTATGAATTACATATTGGAAAATATCTACAAAATATTGTATGATCACATTTTTATATTGCATTAAAGTATCCTGAAAAATCATAA